TGTGTGTGTGTGTGTGTGTGTGTGTGTGTGTGTGTGTGTGTGTGTGTGTGTGTGTGTGTGTGTGTGTGTGTGTTTCTCGCTGAAGGAGGAACAGAGGCTAATTGAGGCAGGAGAGTCCAGGTGATAGTGCTCTCATTAGATGAGCAGGTGTGCGTACGCCTTCAGTCTACCTGTGACGATAGAAGTCCCTTATCTACTGAAACATGCATGTGTGTTTTTCTGTGCACGAGGCTGGGAGATGCAGAGGCCAATAGATCACACATTTCTATCTCTGAAGGAACAATAAAATATAAAACTGCACAACATACAAGAAGCATTAAAGACGCGCTACAAATGCAGAGCACAGGACCAAATACAGGCATGCTGTGTATCTTTGACAGCGCACTCTACAGCACAATAGATTAGCTCTTTTTTTTTTCTTTCGTCGTAACATATTTGATTTTTCTTTTGTTTTATTTACTTCTGGCATTTGTTAAATTTCATTATTGACACAGATATTTTCTTCGTTTGTGCTTCGTTTGCTTTCAGAGAATCCAGTGCACTTCCCACAATGCCACCAAGGCAAAATGAGAACTTTTAAAAGCCAGACACGAGTCTTTTTCACAATGCACCGCAGCCCTGAAATTTTCTCAATGTCAATTGTGTTGGCTACTTACAGTCTCTCACCGAGCCAGCTCGCTCGCACAAATTCTGCGTGACGTTTGTCTGAGAGCGGATTGACCACAGAATTCACGGCAAGTGAGAGAAAGTCACGTGTCCCTCTCCTGACTGATAATAGTTTGAACTCTGAGAACAGACTCACCGTTAGAGTTAGTCTACTAATAGAACGAAGGCTAAAGGTGGCTAGATTTTTATTAAGGCACGAGAAAGTGGAAGGCCAACCTGCTGCGTTTGCTCACATACATCATTATTACTGTTACTGTCATTACGTGTCCGATTTAAGTGGAAACCTCAGAGGCTGAAAAAAGGAGTGCCAAAAACCGACCCCAAAAGCGAGCGAGTCTCCACAGACTCCTATATTAATGTAGCCAGCTTCCCAGCATCAGGGTTCACAGGTTTGTCTCTGTGAATAGTTTCACCTGCATGGTGTGACTTTAGTTTTTAAACAACTCAGACATTTTAGACACTGTTAAGGCTCAAAGTTAGGAAGGTAGACAGCAGCAGCTGATTTTAGCATTTAAAAGTGTGGCTATGCTTCACTAGACTTGTGTTGATAATGATGATGCAAACATTGTGCACGTGACGTGGCTCTCTCCGTCACTTCTGTGGGTAAAGGAAGCTGGATGGAAACGCCTGACTAAATGACAGGATGTCATCACTCTAACAGACTGATGTTACGCAGGTCATGTGACTGACTCTCAGCATATATAGAGACTAAATAAACCTGAAGACGGGCTTGAAATACTCAAAATTTTAAGCAGCACACCGATGCAGGCGCTACATTTAAGACAACTGGCATCAAACTGACTTGGCAGTCTTAGCGTGCGTGCCTCGTGGATATGTGGACTCTTCTGCGTGTCTGCCGTTTTAATCCCTGTCTGGGTAGATGTTTTAATTCCTGTTTGAGGCCGTTTAAACGTGTGTGCGGATCCGTGTTTGTGTGCCTCGGGTTGCACGCGACCCAGAACTTCACCCCTTTCCAGCGGCTCACCAATAACACTCGATCTCTGGGAGAGGATTCACCCACAAGGGCTCTGAAATCAGCGAGGCTCGCTGCAGCTCAGCTACTTAATCTCTCTGTGCCGCTCCACCATCTCTACTTCATATTTCAGACTCCTGGTTGTTGGCAGCCGGGCCGACCTCCAGCAGCCCCGTCCACCCTGCTGCCTGCCTGCCTGCACGCTGGTGGAAGCAAAGGCAAAAAAGACCGATTATATCTGACCGATGCATCCGTGTTCCAGGAAAGGCGATGTGAGGCGGGTACGTGTGTGTTTTTTCATTGAAAAGCTCATCATTTTCAGCAGAGCTGGGAGTGATAAAACTTTTTTATTGATTTAAATGAGGGATTTTGATATTTTATATTGACTGTGACGGTTCTTTTACAGCTTATTTTTTCACCCTGGTCAAGTCAGACATTTTTCCTCCAAAAAACTGATGTTTGCTATTTTGAAAACTGATTTTGCGGTTTGTTTATTTTTGTATTCACTGTTCAGTCTTATAAATACGCTAAACATGCTATGTTTAGCGTAAAGTACCTAAACAAAGCTAATATTACCGACTGATACCTGCAGTCGGTCACATTTGATTTTCTAAGAACTACAGTTGACAGCATATACAAACAAAATAATAAAAAAAAAACCTTTATAACTCTATAACACTTTTATAACAAAAGTAACTGGAAACAGGTACAAATAATTATCTGATTTGGTCAGGTGCTTAAATCCTTTTCTAGTGCGTACAACAACATGTTAGCAGGGCTGCGAGTGTGCACGTGGCTTTTCTCCTGCACCGCTCTGCGCTTGTTGCCCATTCGCAAAACAGACCAGCTCGCATTCAGTTGGCTGTCACCAGTCAGCTGGAAATCGGCTGATTTTGGATGCTTAAGCCTCCTCGGAGACCATAAACCGCTGTTAGTGGATGTCTTCATTGAATTTCTCTTTTGGGCTGGGACTAATGTGCAGGAAGCCTGCTCTGAGGGTCAGTATCACAGATATGCAGCACACATGTGCACCAGCATCTCTACACGACTCCACCCTGACTTCATCTGATTAAACGACACATAAATCACGTCGGTATTAAAGTTGGATGATACAGGCCCGCCTTTGTTTGCCATTAAAGCCCTCTCTGCGTTGTGGACTGTATTAAGCGGAGATGAATAAAGCCAATGAGCAGCAGAGGTGTTCTCCTGAAGGAGGCCTGGACATGGGACCATTAGCAGGAAGGATGTACATTAAGGAAGAGGATGCAACACATTAGAGACCCTACCTCCTCGACAGTTCAAGGGCATAATATAAGGCTAATAAGTCTAGCAGACCTGAAACAAATGGTTAAGTTTGCAATTGTTTCCAATACTAAAGGTACGATTGGTTTAACTTGTTAAATGTCAGAATAGGACAGGAGCAACAGCACCAGCTTACAACATGTCAAACTGCTCCAATTTAACAGCTGATTAAACTGAAACTAATAATGAAGGGATGCTAATCACATTAAGAAGCCCAACTGACAGCATGTTTACATTGTCCCACATTAACAAACACTACAAAGTACTGCTGTTATTCAGCAACTATAAAACAGACACACACACACACACACACACACACACACACACAGGACTAGGCTCACTAACATGTTCATGTTTTTACACACTCTTAAAGTCGGGACCTCAGCTGCCTGCTCGAACACATAACAGCTCATAATGTGAATTCCATTCCTAGTCATACAATAGAGGGGGAATCACACTCATCCTCGCTGAACAGGAAGTCAAACTAAAAGAGCTTCTTACCTCTGACAGGAAGGTCTGTGCTGATTTCTGGGCACCAACATGCAGCAAATACTCGTACACATATAAAGCTAACCTGAAAAACAAGAGCAGAGACGAGAGGAGGAGTGAGCGCTGAGGATCACAGTGAGCGTTCATTCAGGAGGATTTCAAAAGTGAAGGAAAAGTCAAACGTTTGTGCACAACTGGCGGAAAATCATCGCCGTGTCATCTGAGATGGCGCTCGGATAAACGTGATTTTACAGTACAGATATCATATACACAGCGACGGGGTGATGAATGTTTGATGCGCAGGTTTCAGGATGACTGCTGCTGAGGCACAGAGAAAAACGTGGATGAAGAATATCCTCAGACAGGACTCCCAGACGCGAACACACCCTTGTGGATTCTACGTGTTAGAAATGATAACACAAATCGCTCTTTAAGAGACAAAAATGATTCATTAATATAAACAGCAATTAGTTTAAGACGGAAGCACAGCTGATAATTATTAGCAGCTTTTCAATCACCTGTGAGACAAATCTTAAATCAAATATTGCTGTCTAAGCTCGGTCCATTAAAAGAAAATCTTTTAGGATCATCCAGCTAAAAGAGTAGAAACACAGCTGCTGGAAATGGCTGAGGAGGCTCTGCAAACAAGCCTTTAATATTACACTTCTGCTGATATCAAAAATATAGTGTATTCTTCTCACACTAAACAATAGACTTTATGTCCTCATATTTACACTTTGCAGCTCAGCCTGTATTCATCACCAAAGCTTTACTCGCATGTCCTTTAGAGGGTTTCAGTGAGCAGGAGCCAATCACCGGGTAAAGAGGTGGGCTACACCTGCCAGTCAATCGTGTACGAAAAGACAGACAAGCTGTTCAAGCTCACACTCACACCTGCATGTGACATTTACCAATTAACACAGTCTGCATGTCTTTGTACTGATGGAGGCAACCAGAGCATCAGCACAGGGATAAAGACCCCAGTCAGCCGGCTGCTCCCAACCCAGAGCCTGCTATCTATGAGGCCTGATCACAAAGGATCAAACTACTGAGTTAAACTATTTATTCATGCACAGGAAAAAAAGAATAACGTTCGATTCTACTATTAATCTTTTTTTTAAAAATGCTGGTTCATGACTTTAAACAAGTCGTGCACATTTTGACTGCACAGTTTCCCACCAGTCACCAATAAAAACACACATTTTTTAACTTTTGCTGTAGACAATGAATTCGGCTCGTGTGATGTGTCGATCCGAGAACCAGTAAAAGTCCGGTTGCCTAGCAACAAGATTGTGGGACTTCATAAAGTCATCGCTTCCCGCCAAGAAACTGTACGACACATTCTTCTTCTCCTTCCTCTCTTGGCTGCTCCCTTTAGGGGTCACCACAGCGGATCATCTGCCTCCACCTCCTCCCATCCCAGCATCCTCCTCTGTCACACTAATGCTCTGCCTGTCCTCCTTCACTACATCCACCCTCAGCATCCACCTTTTCTCCTCCACACACGTCCAAAGCGCCTCCGCCTCGCCTCTCTGACTTTGCCGTGTCTCGCCACCATCCTGGAAACCTTTGATTTCGGTCTTGCTGCTGTCCTTCTTTCACAAATCACCTCTGATACTCGTCTCCACCTGCTCCACCCTCCCCGCACTCTCCTCTTCACCTCCCTTGTGCTTTGGATAGCTAACCCCAGGTTCACTACCTCTGCTAGCATCCTCCCTGCTGCACACATGTACCATGCCTTGTTTCTGCTACTTTTTATTCCTCTTCTCTCCAGAGCATACCTCCACCTCTCCAGGCTCTTCTCCACCTGTCCCCTACTCTCATTACAGACCACAACCCATTCCCGTATCTTCATGGTATGGCTCCTCAGCTTTATTCCACTGTAGTTACTACAGATCTGCTCTTGAAAATCGGTACCGGCACAGGTCGCCCTTCCTCGGCCATCCCCGCACTCTCACAGCTTGTGTCCTGAGTCTGTACGACACATTATCCTACTACAAACCACCATGTCCTCTTTTTACGTCAGCTTGTGGAACATTAGATTAAAACCATGTGATTTTTATTTGAGTTTTAGAGGTACTGACAGGCAAATGTTGCATTCTGTGGACAGAGCCAGGTGATCTACCTGCCCCTGCTTTCTGTCTTTATACAGGATAGTTATTCGTAGTAACTTTAAACCCATTATGAACATTTCCAGCTCTTAGATTTCAGTCAAGTGAATTATCACGATTTATAGTTCAAAAAAATATTTATCTGATACGGAGCATCGACGCAGCCGCTCGGTTCATCCTCCGTGTGAAACAAGCCGGTTTTCCTGCTCACCCTTTAAGCCGACTCCTGATTGGCTTCCCGTGGTGCTGCTGTGCAAACAGCCACAGCTGTATGCCTGAGATGACCACATTAAAGATATCCACTTTCACTGACATCACACAGAGGCGAGAGTAAAAAAAGCTCACGGTAACCTGAGCTTTTAGCTCACAGGGATCACTTGCACAACCTTAAATGAAACTCTGTCTGTGATTAATATGAGAATGTGCTGTGGTAACAGAATTAAACTGACAGAAAGTAAAGAAAAGCGTCTTAGCCCCGCTTCGATGCACAGATTTGAAAGTGGTATTGATCTTCTCAACTAGTTACAGCAGAGAAGGAAACAAACATATTTCTCAGTGGCTGCAAAGGACTTATTACAAACATAAATGTACTTTATATCATAAATAGCATCAGTTTTTAGAGACCAGCCAATTACTTTCTTTCTCTTCCCTTATTAACACTCATCCTACTGCCACTTGGCCAGACTCGCAAAACTCAGGTAAACAGTATTTACCAACATTATTATCACAAAGAACTCAAATACTGGCACCCACTCCCGGTTAGACAACAAATTCATCTGCATAAATCTGCATGGACGCACATGCTTCCCTCGGGTTCACCATTTCAGGACAAAAGCAAACTGCACTACTAAATATTTTTACTACGATGAAGAAGCGCGGACAGACGCCACACCATGCAGTCATCTATATTCAGCTCTCCCTGCTTCTACAGCACTGTGCGGGGAGGTGCTGCGCTTTTGTGTACGGTGGGGGCGATAGATTTTATGCTGATCACATGCATCAAGCCCAGACCAGACAGAGAGTTATGATGTTTGGGTTGTTGCTGGGTGATACTGAATGAATCAATAATGAGCCAGAACAGAGTTGAACAATCTGACTCTTTATGTCTTTAAAGATGTCACTGCAGCGTCTTGAGAACTATCTGCTAAAGTGTTGCAGCTGGTCCAGACTAGTTTCAGCCAGACACGCGATGCCATCACCTGCGGTATTTCTAACATCTGAAACCATCCTATTTATGCCCATATCAGCGCCTAATGTAAACACACAGTTTAAGGAAAACATATATGTCGTGTGTATGTGTGTGTGGCTGTGTTTACATATCTTTGTAGGGACCAAGAATCAGAAGTTTGCTATGCTTGTGGGGACCAACAGCCCTTATGGGGACCAAAATCCCAGTCCCCATGAGTTTGAAGGCATTTTTGAGACTCAAATGTGGTTTTAGCGTCAGGGTTACAATTAGGTTATGGTTAGGCATTAATTTTTGATAGTCAGGGTCAGGGTAAGCGGCTATGTGAATTAGCATTATGTCAATTAGATGTCCCCACAAAGATACGAAAACACGGTGTGTGTTTGTTTGTAAAGAGTCACATGTAGGAGCAAATTGTTTGTTGTTAATGTTTAATATTGATATCAGATGCAGCAACTGTTCTGCTGAAGTTCAAGTGATCAGCTCGGTGTTCAGGAAAATGCCCATCGCCTGTAACTAAGAGTCATCTGCGAAAATGTGCAGCAAAATCATTTTTATTTTTTAACATTTCAGAGGATTGTTGGCTCTAACATGACCCAGATTATGACTTTACCTTAAGCCGTGTTTCATTAGAACAGGATACGAAGGAAACGGCACTACTATGGTACTTATTTTAGTTTCATGTGAAATTTTTGTGCTTTTTAGCAAAAAATGTAAACTTCTAATGAGAAAGAGAAATACTATTTTCATCCAATAATAATAATATCTGGACGCTCCCTCTCTATCACACAGATATATTGTAATATAAAGGGTAAAGCATGTTTGGGCAGTGGAGCTGAATCAGTGTGTGGAGAAGAAGCTCCACACACTGACTGTTGTGTTTTGGAGGGTGGCGGGGTTATCTGTGATGGATCACAGTTTGTTCAGTGGCCTCCTCTCCACCACAGCTTCAACAGTGTCCAGTTTGCAGCCAATCACAGAGCACAACAGGCCTTGCTGCAAACCTCCATCATTTTGCTGCCCACACTGAAGGATCTCAGGAATCAGAGCCTGCTCGTCCTCTCTTCATATACAGCATTCCGGTTCACTTTATTGCACGGTAATAATCACAGCAATCAATTTTTTAAACACAGAAAGCTTTGTAAGCTTCTTGTTTTTAGCCAAGAGTAACGACTGCAGCTTTGGCACGTGGAGCTAATCACGAAAATATGCAATAATGTGAAAACGAGCTGCTACAGAAACACTGATCACTTTAGTTGGAGCATCAAACACCAAAATGACTCCTTTGGCACGGGCGTCAATAACGTATGTAAAGCTCGAAAGAGTTATGTTGTTAATTATTTGAGCATTTAAACCAGCAGTGGCCGACGCGCTCCTCCAGTCAAAGTCTCAGTCGTGTGGGAAAGGACTCACGTGGAAGCAGGCAGCCAACCAAAGCCAACTCAGGTCGCCTGTCCTTTTTCTCACATCTGCATTTTGGCAGCTGCACATTTAGAGGATGCCATTTGAATTCAATTCAATTTAATTTGATTTATACAGTGCCAAATCACAACAGCAGTCGCCTCAAGGTGCTTTATATTGTAAGGTAGACCCTACAATAATACATACAGAGAAAAACCCAACAATTATATGATCCCCTATGAGCAAGCACTTTGGCGACAGTGGGAAGGAAAAACTCCCTTTTAACAGGAAGAAACCTCTGGCAGAACCAGGCTCAGGGAGGCGGGGCCATCTACCGTGACTGGTTGGAGTGAGAGAAGGTATGCTAAATAATGAATCGCAATGAAA